CACACACACACACACACACACGTTACATATTGTAATCAAATTTTTCCTCTTAATGAGGGCTAATATTGTACATACTGAGAAAACAAAATGTTCAAATTTTAAAGGAATTTTGCACCAAAAGGGTTCCAAGTTAACACTGATTGAGCCTGGAAAGCCAACAAATGTTATTTCTGTAGCCAAACTAAGGAGTACAAGTACAAATAATATAGATTAACTCCAAATTCAGAGTCTCCAGTGTTGTCATTACCATTGTAAGTGTTCTCCAAGTGGACTGTAGAAATGGGACATACTCAGGTGACAGTACTATGGTACCAGCAAAATCTGCCTCTGGTCTCCCATTGTCTTACCAAGAACTACATAATAACTAAGATTTTTTATTTTGCCAGGACTTTCCACATACCAGCCTACATATACTTTACATATATGGGCTATGGGCTTGTTTAGTCATCAAAACAACCCGATGAGGTGAATACTCTCATTTGTCCCATTTTACAAGTAGAAACTGAGGCACAGAGATGGGGTATAACTTGGTCAAGGTCTCACTGCTGGAAGTAGCTCAGTTGGAACTCAAAATCATTCCTCGGTCTATTCCTTATACTACCTTGCAAAATGTTGGTTTTGTTGTTATTGTCTTATCTTGATAACAATAATAATAGTTAAGATCAGGGCAAAATGTGAATCCTAGGGGGAAAAACATCTGTGTACATTTATTTTGATCTATGGGAAATTTGTGAAAATGATTGTAACCAAGCAACTCTCTAATTCTAGGAGAACAAATTAAGAAATGAATTAAGGGATTCAGTGGATACCCAAATTAGTCATTAGAACTTGAAGATCTGGAATTCTGGTCTAAATCCCGCTTTGGCACTTGCATCCAAAATAAACATGACCAGATAAGTATCACAGCTCACAATTAAAATGGATTTATATGGCTTATGTGTCCACATGGGATAGGCCTCTTCCTAATTGAGTTCGGACACCTCTTCAGTTATCATGGGCTTCATTTACCACCTTCCAATAGTCTTTCATAACTGCTGGCAATAGGATTATGCTGAGGGAGAAATCATTTTCAATCAGTGATGTCTGCAGTACAAGCATAAAAAGATAAAAGTAAAGCCTTTGAGCTGTAATTAGAAAATTCCTAAAGTGTGCTCATGTGGCATATGGTTTAGACTACTACCAACTGGCAAGACCAGTTACAGAAGGAATGTCTAATGTCACTGTTCTGGGATAAGCAGCCCATACAAGTAATGTTCCAACACATGATTAGAGCAATCTTTCCCAGGGTAAAACATTCCTGCTTTCCACCTCTAATATGATTAGTGACAGACAGCTGGAGGCATCTCATTCTCCTGACAAAAATATGATCAGAATTGTTTTCAATTGGTACATCTTTCCATCAAGCTGTTGCCTTTAGCAGAATAATCAGAGTTTTTATTTGTTTGGTATACGTTTCAAGAAAACATGAATTGATCGTGCCCTTGCTTGTCTGATGGCTGCCAGGAATTACATAGCAACTCTTCAGCTGCCTAACCAAAGGAAAACTAAGCAGTGCCCCTGTGCATGCACATATGTGTATGGAGACAGAGAGACAGAAAATCAACCAGTTGTTTCTATACTAATTCTCTTTGAACAACTAGAAAATGCTTTCACTGTGATTCAAATATGAGGAAGTAAAATATTCTATTCCATTCATGGAAAACAACCGACTCCCACCAATGTTTATGGCTCTTTTCAAAAGGTTACACTAAAGTTTACTTACCACTAAAGTTTTGCATTTATGGGAAAAAATCAAGTTTACATTAAACATTAGTGGAAAAATCCAGGAGGCAATAAGACCTCATTAATTTGGACTATCTTGATTTGGAATTTATGATTATTTGACAGGGTCTGGACCAAGGATGATCTTTCCACAAGGAATATATGGCTTGTTAAGTAAATTAATTTAAACAAGACCACTGAAGGGAAAAATAAAAAAATGATAATAATAAAAATACTTTCAGGGAAAGTATGGACCTAAACCAACATGCTTTCTGTTCAGCAAATACTTTTGATACACCTGTTCAAATACTAATACTGATATCAATAACAGTTACCGTTTTACTGAATGTCAATTTTGTGTAAGTTTGCCTTGCATACATGAGCTTAAAAACATCTCGACAATTCTGTAAGATGGTTATAATTATTCCAAGGGGGAACTGAGGCTCAGAGAAGTAAGTCACATGCGAAGACTGCACAATTATTAGGCAGCAGAGGCAGAATGCAGAGCCAGGCTGTCTGGCTCAGGAGTCTGCGTCCAACTCCTAGTCAATGCTGACTGAACACCGCCAATTCCAAGTCAGGCTTCTGTAATCACAGGAGCACGTTCTTCAACAAGAATGACAATAAGAGCAAAAGCGACCATCAGTGTGAGGAGGGAAAGCCAGGCAGTCTGTCTTCAGAGTCCACCACTCTAAGCCATAATTCTTTTTTAAATCACAAGAATGTCTGTAAAAGTCCTATTTTTTTTTTTTTGGTACTTCAAAATATTTCATATGCATGAAACTAATCTAAACATATCCATAGATGTGGCAAGGCAAGCAGGGAAGGGGTATGTGGGTGGCGTAGGACTGACTCACATCCACCAGACCCCACTGCCCTATCAGGAGTAACTTCAGTCAACACACTCTAAAAGAGAACTCTGGTGTTGAGCCCTGAGAGGCAGCTAAGGCTGCTAAAGGCTACCACAAGGCTCCCAGGAGTCCGCTGCAGGTGTAGGGACAGCTGGCCATGGCAGCAGGAGGAGGTCATAGAGAGGGAAGGACCATCTCTACTCACCTGGGAGTCCACAGAAATGTTCCTGAAAGCAGCCTGGGTTCTGAAGTGCTCTAGGAAAAATGGAAATTTGGGAATTCAGGCAGGTCTCAAATTAGTAGCCACATCACCCATTTCCCATCATATTCAAAATCCAAGCACAGGATCTCGAATCAGGCAGACAGAGAATTTGTACTCACCCATGACTTAACAGCTCTGTAACTCTGAACAGGGAGAGTAACCTCTCTGTGCCTCAGTTTATTCAGCTGTAAGATGGGGATAATAATAGTACCTTTCTCACAAAGTTGTTGACTTGATGCTATATAACGTATGCAATGCATTTAGCATACTGCCTAGCATATTATAGTGATATTTTAATAACACCAACAATAGCCAACATTTATTGCCAGCTTAGGAAGTATCTAGCATTGTTCTAGGACTTCACATAGGCTAACCCTTCAATACTCTGAGGTGGGCCCTGGTATCACTGGCACTTTACAGGTATTAGAAAATGAGGCACCAGAGATCAAAACACCTGTCTTATGAAAATATAACTGTGGCAATCAAGTCCCAGAGCCTGGGCTATTCACTAAAATATCTTGTCCAATTTAATATTGGCTATTCTTCTTCTTCTTCCTATAATTTCTCCTCTCCAAAAGACACCCTATAAAGTACACACAATCCCAAAGAACTCACTAGTCAACCAGTAACCACTTAGGCAGAAAGGTGAGTGCCAAGGTTATAAGTCAACCAATCACTCACTCACTCGCCCACTCATCAGTGCATGTGTTTCTTAAGAATGCCTATGTCTCTAATGCTCTGCTGAGCACTGTGTGGGGATTCAAAGGCTCTGCTAACTGGTCCTACGAGACTCAGAAGATTGACCTCTACAAAATGACTGAAGAACAACCACGAGGGAGGTGCTGCAAAGAAGGGGATAGGGGTCTCAGGACACCAGATGCTGTTCCTGGCTCTGGCACCAACTCTCTGGGTGACCTTCTCCAAGCCAGCTGACCTCTCTGGGCTTCATCTTTAAATGAGAGTACTGACCTAAAGGCTTTAAGCCCTGAGATTCTATTTTAAAACTGTGACTTTCTTTTGGACTAACTTTTTCTCCCTACCAGTCCGGTTTTGAAAAAATAACCCTTCATTTAGCCAACAAACATTGACTGAACACAATGTTAAACACCATGTATAGTGCCAAAGATATAACACAGAACACAGCCTACACTTTGTAATGATCTCCATAAGCATGGTGAATTCTCATCCTATGAGATCTTGGCAACAAGAAGACAAGGCAAGAATGTAGCCCTGAGGACAACTGCACACAGTGGGTTTGCCCCAATGTGTACCACTCTAAAATCCAGGATCCACGTCCCCAGGTGCCTAGTAGTCTGGGAAAGGGTGGGGTACCATGCTAAGCAGATGGGGAGGGTAAGAATGTCTGTGAAAAATAAGGCAGAAACAAGACAAACAATGGGATGCCTGGCTGGAAGTTAGAGTTGTTTTCTAAAAGTTAGTAGTGTTGTATGCAACACACCGAAGTGACAAGAACTCAGCTGGTACTTAATTAACTGACTTTCTTGACTTTAATAAAGTATATCAATGGCTATTTTGATAGCAGTCTTGTGTGTGTGTGTGCATGTGCCTGCTTCTATGGGAAACATTTACTTCTACACAAAAGCAACTGACCTTATTTAAAGATCAGTTCATCTCACCTAGATACTTTTGCTTTCACAAAAACTCCTTGGAGGGGAACAATTTAGTGAGTGTAATACTTACATTAAAAAGAGATTGATTTTAAAATATTCTTTTCACACTTTTGACAAAAACAATTTTCTAATTTTCTTTATGACCCACAAAAGGTAAAGATTGTTGTGTTGACAAAGTAATAAATAACATGAGTTGTCAAATAAGATATTAAACATTTATGGATTAAATTTTTAATAAAGACTTTTAAACATTCCCCAAAATATCCATCAATCTTTGACATGGAAAGAAGCAGCATTTTGGTAAATTCCATCTTCTACTACAATAGAAGTCAGAACAAGATATTTATGACTCAGAGAGGGCAATGATAACTTTTTTTTTTTTGAGATGGAGTCTCACTCTGTCACCTAGGCTGTAGTACAGTGGTGTGATCTTGGCTCATTGCAACCTCTGCCTCCCAGGTTCAAGTGATTCTCCTGCCTCAGCCTCCTGAGTAGCTGGGATTACAGGCACGCACCACCACACCCAGCAAATTTTTGTATTTTTAGTAGAGACGGGGTTTCACTAAGTTGGCCAGGCTTGTCTCAAACTCCTGACCTGAAATGATCTGCCCGCCTTGGCCTCCCAAAGTGCTGGAATTTTAGGTGTAAGCCACCATGCCCAGCTCAATGATGGCATTTTTAATAGGATGGCCAAATATTTGCAGCAAAGGATTTTAGAAGGTACAGGATGGTCAAACACGGCCGGGCATGGTGGCTCATGCATGTTTCCCAGCACTTTGGGAGGCCAAGGAGGGTGGATCACCTGAGGTCAGGAGTTTATGACCAGCCTGGCCAACATGGTAAAACCTGGTCTCTACTAAAAAAAACTAAATAAATACAAAAATTAGCCGGGCATGGCGGCGCATACCTATAATCCCAGTTACTTGAGAGGCTGATGCAGGATAATCACTTGAATCAGGGACGAAGAGGTTGCAGGTTACACTGAGGCGAGATTGCACCACTGCACTCCAGCCTGGCTGACAGAGCCAGACTCTGTCTCAAAAAAAAAAAAAAAAAAAAAAAAGGTCAAACATATCATGCGTTATTTTGACAGGTTTTGGGGTAGCAGATATATTGTCTTTTACTATGTTTCTATCAAAGTAACCTGTGCATGAGAGTCTATAAAAAAGTTAGTTCCTAGACTGGCTTGAAAGGGATTCCCAATTAGTTTATGCAATGGCAATATTGTTGGAGTACATGCATAAGCCTCAAAGAGGACAACTTTGAGGAACAATGCTCATTTGGATAAATAGCTTTCTTAAGCTTAGAAAGAAAAAAATTGAAATTTCAGTAGTGATAATCCCTAGAGTGAAGGATTATGGGCAATTTTTCTTCTTTTTAATATTTTTCTCTGCTTTCTAAACTTTCTAAAATGAGTATGTACTACTTTAACAATTTAAATATTTTTTTCAATCTCAGAATATATTATGGAAAACAGCCTTAAAAAAGTGAAAAGGAGTTGGGCATGGTGGCAAGCACTTGTAGCTCCAGCTATCTGGGAGGCTGAGGCAGGAGGATTGCTTTTGCCCAGAATTTAAGGCTGTTGTATGCTATGATTGCATCTGTAAAGAGCCACTGCACTCCAGCCTGGGCAACAAGCAAGGCTCTATCACTAAAAATATGGGAAAAGGTTTTGGAATCAGACAAACTTGGGTTCAAGCCTCAGACTATACTCTTTCTACCTTGTTACCCTTTGATAAGTTACTTAGCAGCTTAAGTCTCACGTTTATCTGGAAAATAGGACCAATAACATGTGCCTTGAGTATCATTTTGTCTGTGAGAGGTGAGATATTTTAAGTGCTTAGCACAGAGCAGGTGCCCAACAAATGTTAAGTACTCACCTAGTTAAAGAACACACGGAAGGTAAGGGAGGCTTTTCTGATAACACACAGTAAATAAACATGTTAGTGTTTATAAAGTGATACATCAGACTATTTGTTTATGGAAATACTGTGAGTTTGGAATAGGTAACTTCCAGAAATCATCAAACAGTTAAAAGTTCAGAGAAGGAGTAAGTAGAAACAGGCTTCTACTCCACTCTGCTCCCCATTACAATTATTTGATTATCAGATTCCTACATTCCAGCCAGGGGTGATGTCTCATGCCTGTAATCCCAGTACTTTGGGAGGCTGAGGCAGGTAGACCACTTGAGGCCAGGAGTTCGAGACCAGCCTAACCAACATGGTGAAATATTTTGTAAAAATACAAAAATTAGCCCAGCGTGGCAGTGTATACCTGTAGTCCCAAGTACTCAGGAGGCTGAGACAGGAGGATTACTTGAACCTGAGACCTGGGAGATGGAGGTTGCAGTGAGCCAAGATGGCACCACTGCACTCTAGCCTGGGTAAGACAGTGAGATTCTGTCTTAAAAAACAAAAATTCCTATGCTCCAAGACTCTCAGGTTCACCTGTAACTGCTACTTTGCTAACATGTACCTGCTCAGAAATCCCCTGATTGGGACAAGATTTGGAAGAAGGATTAAAGCAGCTCTACTTGAGAATAGAGAAAGAAACCACAGCTATCACAATAAAAATATTTTCCATGTTGCCATTCCTTGTGATTAAAGAAAGCAAAATAAATTATGGAATTGCTTAAATGAGGGGTAACGTACAAGATTATAGATTCTCTGGCTTTTCTCTTTTTATGGTAGCTATGTTGATGTTTTCATCCTATTCCTCCGAAGGCAGTTCAATCAGTTAGGTTTATGATAAAATATATATACTCAACAAAATATGGCTGTTGGGGAGATATTGCCCTTGGATATATGTTGCTATACCTTGACTACAGCAAGAAATATTGATTTAACTGGCTTTAATATCAAGTCAGGTATTTGTTGACACATGGAAATGAAAAATATCAAAATCATGAAAAGCTTAATATAGAGGTCAAATCCCATTTCAGCTCACTCCACAGGACTCTCCAAACTCTTCTGCTGTATTGGAATTGTGTTCTACTGATACTTGCATAAGTCGCTGGATAACACAGACTCATTATGATGGAATTTGCTACATAAGTGGATATTAGTATATATTTTTATGTAGTACAATTTACTGTATAGAAAATACAACACACAAAAAAATCATTGAGTCTTCAGCTCTCCCTTCTCTCAACGCTGGAGACACATCTTGTTTTTTACCTAAGGCATGCACATTCTTTCCTTTCAAGGCCTGATTCCCCTTTGTTCTTCTCACAGTGCCTAGTGCAGAGCAGACACTCAGGAAATAGCTGATGAGTCCAACGAAAGCTTTAGTACTAAAGCAAAGAAGGGAAATTCAGAATAGTTTCCTGTGTTGAAGGAGTAATAAAATTTAGAAATTGATTC